CTGGGGTGAAACAGACAGTGTGGCGTCACACGCTGACCGCGGCACGGTCGCTAGGAGGCGGCGGAGCGGGCCAACTGTCCGGTGCGGGGATGACACCAACAGGAAGGCACGTGGGAAGGGCCGAATGAATGGCCGTTGCGGGATTAACATGGACGTGACGGGTACGCGCGCATGTGCGCCATAGCTGGACCCGTTTGTAGGGTAGTACACACGGGCAGAGCTACCGCGCTGTCAATGGAAGGGGCATCGCAAAGCAGGCATGATGCATGGATGGGGCCGTTCAGTACAGTTGCACCATTCGCGGCGAGGCCACTGCGGCAATGACTGGAATACTGGACGTCACAAGCAGGGCTGTCGTCTGCCACGCAGCTAGCAGCTGGATGTTCCATGCAAACACATGCCGGGCCAAGTGATGACGTCAATGCCGTCAGCGGCCAGATTTCCCGTGAGTTAGCAGCCCGTCTTTCGCCATGAGCGCCGGCTCTTCATCTCCCAATGTTGGCCCATGCCAGGCGTGGTAACGGACCGACAGCGTCGAGCCTCTGACTAACGAGCTGCCGGGGGAGCGAGGCCAAATATTGCACGAGCGGGTTTGACGGTCCGGGCCGAGGAGCGAGCACGCCGACCATCTGCCGGAGGAGCGGTCGTTCTGTGGGGGATTAAACAGTGTGTTTTCCGGTGCCTGGTGTGCCGTGAAGTGCTCGGGCGTGGCACTCGGCGCTCGTCCACTCCCGATGGTGACATGGCGACTCGGTTGAGATAGGCTAGACGACGGCCAGATGGACCTCAACCTGCACAGTGCGGGGCAGGTTTCGACACCATTTTTTTCTACAGGCTCTCGCTATCATGTGCCTTCTCCGTTCCAGTCTGTTCTGAGCTTATAACCTTGCCCTCCTGTTTTTAAACGAGTCGCTGTCGTCGTCCATTCGAGGATATCCGGATGTGGCGAGTGGCCGAAGAGCTCCAGCAGGGTCCTTACAGCTCGGCGGGCGGTGTAGCCGTCAGCGTGGACGTGCGCTCAAGATCAGGTGCCGTCCGATGGTAGAGGTGCGAGCGTTGATCCCCTCAGGCAGAATGTTCTGCTGCGCCTCGGGATATCCATGGAGTCCTGTTGGCTCTGGCGGGTGGTGGTCTATGTAATCAGCAGTTAGTCTGGCTTGTGGCATCGCTGACAGTGCTCCATTTCCACGTTGGCACACTTGGCACAACTTCGTGGATAGTTTAAGCCTGTTGACTTTGCGCTGACAGTGATTCCTGTCAAACAGCTCGAATTATTTATGTGGGTGTACCTCACGTTGAGGTCCCAAGTCGTGATTCCTCACAGGCGTTGAAAGATGTGTAGTGGGGGCTGGGCAGTAACCTCGGACATGTATTGCTCATCCATTTTGACGGGGTTCCGTGATGGAATATCACCATAGGGATGTCTGCCATTCCTCGCATGGAGGCAGTAGCTGGTGGTTGCGATCGGTAGCCACGAATTGCGAGAAAAGGAACGTGCAGGGTGTTGTATTGAGGTCGTGTTCCGCGTGCAAAATATGCAAATTTACTCCGTATCATGAGCTGTAATCCTTTCTCTCAGGGAGTCAGGACGGAATCAGTTCAATGTTACTATGGCCCTGAGCCTGCTTTACTGACTCAAACTGCTTTGATGCCATTTTATGGGTCGGAAAACAAAAATAGCCCACTCCGAGAGAGCTTACTGGGCCTGTCCCCAGCGACCCAGTGGGGGCCACTCCCGCAGGCCCTACAGGTCATGGAATCAGCCGGCTTGATAGCGTAACCAGCGGAAGTGCTGCGGAGCGATGATCTATAGTGGAAAATGGTATGCGCTGCACCACAGGCTCGTTACAACCACTGAAACGACGGGAGTGAGGTCCGAGGCCTTAGATCAGCGGTATGTGAAGCTGTACGAAATATGCTTTGGTTGGTGTTTTGGGCTGGGGTTGGTATGGTTTTGGGGTAACTAGTCAGAGGATTTATAAGCTAAGACGGTAGTAATACAACTATTTATATTGTTTCGGTGCCTCGCCTCCGGCCCACTGGTACACACGGTACGTCCAAAGTCACTTTTGTATTTGGCACTCGTCACAGGCACTCCTCACAGTCCGTACCGCCGGCACGTCCGTCCTCATGTCTGCGGCTCTCAGAGTCTTCCCCTCGTTACCACTTCCTCTCCTGGCCTCCTCGGCCCGTTGGTAGAAGTCCCGACCCAAGATGCACTCAGCGTCTCTCCGATACGGTCGCTGATGAACACTGTTCAGTGACTACAGAACTCGGACAGTCAGATAGTACGTAACATCAGTAAAAACCGTAACATCAGCAAAACAATCACATAGTTTTTGAGACCAAACATAAGAACACGACAATCGCGCGATTAATTCATGAACGAGTGCAGCGAGTGCCGTTCTGTGCGCAGTAGACGGGGTGTGGATCTTGGGGGCTGATGTCGGATCCTGGGCGGAGGGTTGTCCCCTCGTTGGCTCTGCGGCGACTGGTCCGCTGATTGTCCGTCCCCCGGTGGCAGTGACGAGTCGGCGTCGGGAAGGTGACGGAATGTTTTGGGCGGCGTAGGCTGCGATGTCGGTTTCCTGAGACGACGGAGAAGGATCTGTTTTCTGGTGAAGGTGGTCGCAATACAGGACCGTTCCGCGGGCGGTGGGGCTGACCGGTGCCGCTCGAGATCTGAAGTCAGTCATTTCCAAATCCGTCCGCGATATGTGGCAGAACAAGTTCGACCAACATCTTCACGCTTTCAGGGAAATGAAGCCCCAACTGGGTGATTTGGAATCTTCCCACCGCCGAAGCCGCTTCCAGGAAGTCGCCCTATGTAGGCTTCGGTTGGGTCATACACATGCAACACACTCGTTTTACTTGACGCGCAGGGATGTGCCACGGTGTGACAGATGAGGGGACCATTTGTCTGTAGAACATGTCCTCGTCTCATGCCGGCGCCTTGAGACGGAAAGGCGACGGCGTTTTCGTCCAGCGCCCCTTCATCGGCTAATCGTTCGAGCCCCATGTTATGAACTTGGAGATATACTCATTTTTTTATTTTTAGCACACACTTTTGGCACACATTGACTGACATTGTTTTCACTCACCCCTCAGTGTAACTGTACCAGTGATACCGCCCGTTATCAGTTAACAACACACCTATCGCGACGTCGCAGATGTAGATAACCGTCGTCGAGTGGGCGCAAAATGGCCCCGATGCCGACGCGCCCTAAAACACCAAATCACCACGGAGTTGACCGATGGCGATGGCTGCGGTGTGGCGAGCATTGGTAGACGCCGTCTGTTCAACCGCGTGTGACGCGCAGGTACTGACAGCGCCACGATGAATGATGAACACCACCAGCGAGCGCGGATGGACTGAAACAGGTTGATGACGCTTCGGCGGCAGTGGTCGCCACACGCCTCTCTGTGAGCGGCTGAGCTCCATCGCGGTAGAACGTAGCCAGGGCGAGTGAGATGGCCAGATCGACGAGAGGCGCGAATTCGCATTGGTGTAATGGATGGGCTACACCGCTACCACCAATGTAAGGTATGCTGTTCCGGTGTCCGCGTCCCTCGCACGGAGGGCTTAGGGCAGGAGGAGGGGGAAGTGAGCGCTTCTAAGCGGCGTCCGCCAAGCTAAGCAAACATTCACCGGCCAGCACATCCTTACACTTGCATGAAAGCGGACTTGAATTATGCCTTCCTGTGGTTACAGTAACGACATCAGACTATAAATGATGTCATCTACAAGGATGATCAAGCGTAGCGTTATATTCTATGAGAAAGAAGCGGAGTGATGTGTTTCATTTTAGCAGGACAGTGCTAACAGGCTTATCACTGTCATTGGAAATACTGGGGTGTAGTAGCTGCCAGCTGTCTACATGGGATTACGATATTGTCTCGATAGGTCGTTTCTTAGGCAGGGGCTTTCCAATCCGCTCACTAATGAAAGAATAAGTTTGAGTCGCTTTAAGCACTCGCTATTTGCTCCTGCACTGGATGGCATGTGGCTGATGACAACAAAAGCAATCGTGAATAATTATCAGAGCATTTGTTAAAAATGTCTGAAATAAAGAACAAAGCAGCAAACTCCGAGCGAACACCGCCAGCCCTAGTTTCAAAAACAATGCAGTCATTTTTTTTGTATCGCGATTTCGAAGCTTGGTTTGCTAATGTGTGCACGTGATAGTGTTCAGAAAAGTGAAACTGATCAAATGGGCTCGCCTTGCCATGTTCATCCTGTGGGATTACCAATAATCGTGACAAGGAAATTATCGCTGTAAATGTGTGCAGAATTCTACTGAAGTACAAACTGAACAGTACGAGCCCCATGTGGTACAATGCCTGCTTTCCCAAGCATGATGATTCTGGGGCACACCGGTTGTCTTTGTCAGAAGCTTCTGATTGCTGTGGCAGCTTGCTGGCAGACATCACGTTTCGTGGGGCTTGGAGCCACCCTCAAGCAGTCCTCCAGAGCAGAGCAGCCGCAGTTCTCAGCAACAGTTCAGCAGCTCAACAGCAAAACATGTCTCTAACTAACCAAGAGCTGGCGTTGATGCTGGCCTCCCTCCGCCCCACCCCTACCAAAGTTTGCAACAACGAACCTAATCCTGCCTGGAAAAGCACGCAAAAAAGTGGCGTTGACTGAAAACACCAATAACATGTCGCTCGCAAATTGTAGGCCAATCAGGAGGAACAGGCGATGGGATATCGCAAAGTCTAGTCGATAATGTAAGGAATTATGCAGGTCCAAGTACTCGTCTTAGATCTTTTTACTGACGGGATGGCGGTGGGAATTCCTTGTCCATACATAATTAGCCTGATATGACGCTCTACACAATGGCAGGAACCGACTTGAGGTTCATTTAACTCGGGGGGGGGGGGGGGGAAGCATGCGAAACACTGGATGGAGCGATTTTCGCCCTCTATTCAGCATGGGTGCACGGCAGCCTGCACGGCACAGCACGGCCTTGCGAGTATACCGGTCGTACCAAACACACCAA